AAAAAAACAGCCAGAACGGATTAATTGGTTTTCAGTCCATTGCTTCAAAATTAGCTTCGTCAGAAGTGCTTTTAACACTGTTCCCTGACCTAAGGGGAAAAAAAGAAAAAATCCCCCTCTAGTGGTAGAAGGCGGAATAGCAGCTTCCCATTAGTTTCTATGGACGGAAAAGAGCAGATACGGATTAAATGGTTTTCAATGCATTCCTATGGGAAATGCAGATTCTACATAAGAACTTTTCCACTTGAGAACCACCTTCCAATACGGATTAAGTTATTAAGTAGAGACCCCACTATATTGAAATATTTTAGATATCAGGTCACCTTATCATAACATACAGCAGAAGGATGCCACGGAGGCCTGTGAACATTGCAGGCCACCTTCTGAATAATCTGCTATTGTGCAAAAGAAAGCAGAGAAAGATGAATGTGAACTGAATGACAAAGATCATGGAGGAAAGATCTGAGGGAGATTGGCAGCAGTAAAAGGGAAACGCATAATCTAGGATAGAAATAAGCAAACACAATTGCGTAGAAGTGAAAGAGAAACAAATCTCCTGATTTGCAACCACCGATTTGAATAAATTGCTTCTCTGCATCTTGCTAATACATGCTACTTATAACTGAACTTTCAATGCCACACTCTGTCACACAAAGGTAGCATAACTATGTATGTTTGCATAAGGTATATTCATTATGTTGCTTTACAAAACTAAAGCTTTGGCATTTTAAAACACGAGATGTGGCCTGGCTGTCCTACACGGCCTGCTAGTCACATATCAAATACCATTACACCAAATACCTCAACAGCAGCTTTGGCTCTTTCAAATTCCTCCTCCAAGGAGTGATTTCGTGAGAGGAGAGTGCCTCTCCAATGTTGCTCTTTGGTGGATCGTACCTAAAAGAAATAGAGAAAATAAAATGGAATAAGGATGTGTTTGTGTGTGTGTGTGTGTGGGGTGTTTTTCACTGAGACAGCCAATGTGCTACAGTAAGAGCCAGCGTGTCTGTACAAACAGAAGCATAAGAGGGCAAAGTTGGGTCATGCCTAGATAATACAATTGCCCCAAGCTGTGGAATATATTTTTGTATCCCCAGTTATCTTCTCATCTGGATTTCTGGTTTGCTTCTCAAACTTGTCTCCTCAGTTGTCCTTTGATTCTGACTTCACAACCATGAATGCTTAGCACATTTTTTTTTAAAAAAGTGCTCCCTGAAGTGGTGAAAGACATCTCGTTTGCCATAGAACATCATTTTTTTATCATGTATTGTATTTGGTGTGCTTTCTTTTGTGACTGGTCACTTGAAGATAAACACAGGCTTAATTTGCAATTCTGAGGAAATTCTACTGCAGATGTGAAAATACCCGTATTTTTCGCTCCATAAGACGCACCAATTTTTTAGGAGAAGAAAACAGGAAAATATAATCTGTTTTCTTTGCTCCATAAGACGCACAGACTTTCCACCCCCCTGTTTTGTGGGAAGAATGCATCATATGGTGCGAAAAATACGGTAACTTGTTTTGCGGCTTATCACTGGAAAATAAATATCGGCTTGATTTGCAAGTCTGGTTCCTGAGATATGTTCTGCTGGAAAATTTCCATGGAAAAGGTATATGTTGTGAATATGCATTTGCCATCATGTCTCCCTTGATCTTTCCTCTCTAATACTGGATTCTAGCTAGTCACAATTGACTCACTTCAGACTGATGCTGATGGCCAAGTTAATAAGGAAGCATTCTGAGTAGGGGTAAAAGAGCCCCCTGGCCGCAGCTACTTCTCAAATACCAACTAGCCTTGAAAAAGGTGTGATAAAATATTTTTTAAAAATAAATACTCTAAATATTATTTAAAAAGTCAGGAGAACACACACACACACACACACACACACACGTGTGTCATGGAACCAGACATTATAGCTGCAAAGTAATATAGCTAAATATATGACATTATAGCTGCATAGTAATATAGCTATGCTGTTGTGCAGCTGAGCAAAATCAACATTCAACAAGGCAATTTTAAAAATGGGGGCAGCCCAAACAAAAAAATCTAACTTTGAAACATGTCTTTAAATCAGCACCAAATTAAGCACAGACAAAGCAGACAGTCTTCCTCACTCTGTGCCAAATATGGGGACGGTTGAACAAAGAGTTGTTGAGTTGTTTTTTTTAAGTAAAGCTATTCCCCTCCCCCAATGCAGAAAGAAGCAACCCTGAATGTCCCCAGATTTAAAGTAGCTCATACAAATTGAAAAGACCAATCTTGCTAAGCTTGACAGAGAATAGTTGGTCCCACCTACTTTTTTAAAAAAAACTTGGTAAGAATCCAAGATGCAGAGACTGAAATACTGATCCTCAAAAAAACCCTTTCGAAAGGGAAAAACAACCCTTTTGTTATGACTGTGCATGTATATAATAGGCTTACCAGCAAGAGCTTTCCAAAGTACTGTAAGCTCTTACATGGTTACAGCTTTAATTGCCCAGAAGGGAGATGTTTGGAGAGCAATTAAGGTCACAGAAACAGTCAAAAGGGTTCAGTTTGAAGAATAAAAAATAAGGGTTTGCTTTAAAGAAAGTAATGTAGTGAAAGTCCTCCAGAAAGGGGGACATTTTGCCATGTATCTCCAGGGAACTAGCACACCACCTCACTGATTTCAGAGTTGCTTCTAATGAAACAAATAGGAAGCAGATCTATACTTTCCACTTTTTTCCCCACTTTGCTTAAGCAAGAGCATTTGTCACTTCTCTGCTATTCTTGGCTCCTTTGGCTGTTCCTCTTCATCATCAGTATTCTACCCATTAAAAGTACAACAGAAGTTTGAAGGCATCATTTTATTTGTATTAAAAAAAAACGTTCACAAATTCTGAATTCACAAACACAATGAGGAAGAATGCCCCATTTCCTTGCCAGACAAGGCAAGGAAGGTCAGGCCAATGCCCTAAAAACATCGGTTTTGCTAAGCACTTAACCTCATACTTGTCTAGGGTTAAACTCATTAGCCAAATGTCTTAACAGTGCACTGAAACTGCATCTACTTGCATTATTACAGTTCTGATTATCATGATCTTTAAGGTCATTTGTTTGCAGTGAGCCATTTCCATAGTGGATATAATTTCTACTGCATCCAATTTCAGGGCTGAAATACAGACTTGATTCACTCAGGACAAGTGTCCTTTGAACTTATGTTTAGATTTGTCAGAAGAGGAAGTAGCCTGAGTATGATATGGTTGTTTAGCTCTTAGCAGGAAAGCTTGGATGTGACTAATTATATGAAGTATCATTCTGTGTAACTAAAGTAAATACTTTTGGTAACAAGTAATGTAACCAGTAGTTACAAGGAAACTTTTCAAATATGAGTAACTCAAGTTATTTAGGCATGATGAGTGGTCCAAGTTACTTTCAAAAGATACTTTTAAAGAGCATTTTAGGTGCACTCTTAAAGCACCTATTCTGACTTTATGCCATCATCTTATCAGTCCAAAGTAGTAAAGAAAGTATTATTTGGCTTTGGTATTTTTCAAATATTTCCAAAGTGCAATATCAGAATTGCCTCTACTGGGAATAATCTAAGAGTATTTCCCTATATTTTTCTGGCTAGGAGTTGAGGAATGAAGTTAGCTGAAGCATAAGACCATAATTAAACACACAGCATATTGGTTTTAGGAGTAGATAAGCTATTTAATATTAACATTCCAGTTTAAAATTTGAGGATGTTAGATAACTAAAGTCTGCTTGGTTTCCATTTTGCTACAGAGCACAGAAACTAATTCTCTTTGATGAATGAGCTACTTTGAGTATGGTTACCTTCACAAAAGGCCTTGAAGGAGAATGAAAGCCCAAAACAAATGATTGATTGTCATTCTGGCTTGTTGGGAATGAAACGTTAGCTTGGGAAAAAATATGGGAATTTTACCATTCCCACTAGGGGCCTGCACTACAAATGGAAATGATCAAACAGCACACATAATATACTGTTCATAACTGAAAGGCCAAGGCCTTGCAACGCCCTGCCTTATATTTTATGTATGAATACAGCTGAAAGGGTCACCATAAGTCAGAATTAAGTCAGTTTCACTTATGTGTTCTTTTCTGAACCTCATGAAATGGCTTTGGCCAATCTCTCTGAGCCTCACTTCTCTGCCAACGGGCATATTAATTTGGTTATTTTTGAATTTAAAATTGTATCACACTTTTTCTCTCGTGAGCTCAAGGCTGTGAGCTCCTTGCTTCCTCACTTTACCTAAACAACACTTCAAGCTGGATTAGGCTTTCACAAGGATAACAATACTGATTTACTTTTGAGCAGAAGTGTGGAACTTTTGGATCCTCCAGATGTTGCTGAACCCATTCCTACCATCCCCAATAACTGAAAATGGTGGTTGAGACTGACGGGAGCTGGAGTCAACAACATCTGGTTCTCTACTACTGCCCTTCAAGTCCTGAAAAAGAATTACAATCAGGAAATGCCCACAAAGTTCTGAAACTATAAAGCACGATAAAAATGAATCATTACCTAGGAAGTTGGCTAGCTAGCTCAGTGGGTTGAAACCACTAGCTGTGGAATCCCCATTATGCCTCCTGGAAGAGCAGCCAACCTGTGTCATCCCTGGAAGTGGTCGCAGAGCATCACTAGCAGAAGGGAGTGGCAAACCAGGTTTGAGTGCTTTATACTTTGAAAACTGTGGGAAGGGTCATCTTGAGTCATAATTGACTTGAAGGCATATACAGTAATTACTACAAAGGAGAGAAGCACATTGACCACACATGGCATGCACTGGTCATGCAGCTGAGATGACAGATCCCGCCTTCACTTAGAAAAAGAAGAACATAAATGCTGCTAGCAATCTTTCTACAATCTGGTCCTTGGAAATAAAAATGGAACGGTCTTGCTCTTCGGGTCTCAGCAGGAGGTAGTGCATCTCAACACTGTCAAAAATGGACAGCAGCCCTGATCTCTAAGGAATGCCAGATGGTCTACAAGAGTATTCTTGACAAAGTACTCCCAATGAATCTGGCATGTGGTTGCCAGTGAATGACAAGGTCATGACTGAATTTGGATATGTGAATAAACAGTGTGGGAAAAGGAGACATTGGTTAAAATGTTGGGAAGAGACATGAAGAAGAGGTCAAAACTTGTGTAGTTCCTTTGCATAATCAAATTATACAAGTGCAGGGATTTTGTGATTCTGCACAGCAACAAGGTATTCTTGGTTTCAAACAGGAATGGGATTTTTTTTTTTAATTAAAGGACTTCTACTCCCATAATTTTGCCCCAGCTGAATTATGCGAGCAGGAATCCTTTAATTCCTCTCTAGGTCTTGTAGAGCAGGTGTGTTGCGGAGCTTGCTTGTGCACACTGTGCTCATGGGGAGGACACTCGCACACATGGGGGTGGAACACACTTGTGCGCATGCGCGCAATGGCGTTCATAGAAGGTTAGGAGATCTGTGTTTGCTGTCCGGTCCTGGATAGGCCGCGGACCGCTGCCGGGTTGCAGACCAGGGGTTGGGACCTCTGTTGTAGAGCATTCCTAGAATCAGACACCACACTCTCTCTCTACCTGCTACCCACTGACCATACTGGTTGGGGGAACCTGGGAGCTAAAGTCTAAAAAAGCCTTGTTTCCAAGCTTGGTGTTAAGAGTAATGTGTTGTACATCATGAATTGGAACTTACTGGACTGTACTCTTTCTGGTCTCTCAGGAGTGGTCCTTTTTCTGCCACAAGTGAGCAGGGAAAGAATTCCTAGCTAGCTCCTTTGCTATGGGGTGGTGCAAATGGGGGTAAAAGATCACCCCCACTCCTTAATGGAAAGGCACTGTCCCAGCTGACAATATTCACCATTCTTTCTTTGCATTTCTCTTGGCCATGCTGTGACGTATCCTTCCAAAATATCCTTTAATAAATTTGTTGAATTTTAGGCTATCAACAGCAGCCACCAAGACACCAGCAATGAATTTAATCACAAGGACTTAAATATCGTACCACATAGGAAATATGCCAGTTTTTTTTTATTTGACTGCCTTTCTTCTTCTTTTCTGCTTTTTAGAGTCACATATTTTATTGCAGTATTGATCTCCTAACAAGTCTTCAAAAGCTTCGTAAGAATTGCTCTGATTTATGCTTGGAAGAGCATTTTCGGCCAAGGAAGTATGGTATTACAATAATGTGGTGTTTTTTTCTAGCAGGTACTGGGGGCAGGGGTTGTTTGCCTTCTTCCCTTGACTGGTCAATTTTTATGAATTACCTTTCAGAGTTTTACTTAAAGCATACAAATTATGAAAGAAGCAGCAGGCTGGCAAATCGCAGTTATATGGTGGACTACCTTTGCAAGGGAATGTTCTAAGTATCCTTCCTCTAATGGCTGAATGAAACAAGACACTACTATGAGGAGGTGATCAAAACTTTTCCCTCCAGAGACAAATTCCACAAGAGCTGCTCTGCCCTGGCAGTCACATTTGTGAATGAAGATTCTGTTTACTTCCCAGTGACCAGACACAAATCAAGTGCAAGCTAATTTGCATCTTGCCAAGCAAGACTGCAACCTGATGACATTTTTCTTCAACCACTAGGTAAAACGGTTTATTTGACTGTAATTGGCCCACCTACTAGGTAAACTAAAATTTATCCTTACTCTCTGATGGGAGGTTATCTGCATTTCTGTGTTACCCTAATCTCCAGTAACATACACACACATGCGCACACACCACTTTGTTTCAATTTAAGGCAATGAAGGAAAGAGGGGAAATGCTGAGTGGCTGGCAGACTTCCATCTTTGGGACAACACTGCCAGAGTTGGAATTTATAACCAACACTCCTGAGCTGACTATACAGCCCTCATTTGAAATTCACTTTAAGAAAAAACCTTAGCACAGATACAGTATTTAGCTATGAATTTTGGAACTCTTGTTTTTCAGTATCATCCACAGATAAGTGGTGCCAAGCCTGATGAAGGGCTGCACAGGCTGAAAACTAGCATTTGCTTGTAATTTTTAAATAGCTCAATAGTTGTACAGTATTTCACTTGTGGCCAGGTATATATTGGAACCACATGTATTTCACTTGTGGCCAGGTATATACTGGAACCACAAAACGCTGCATCCACACCAGAATCAAAGAACATGAGAGACACTGCAGACTAAAACAACCGGAAAAATCAGCAGTAGCTGGACATACTGTAAAACAAGCTGGACATGAAATTCTATTTAAAAAAACGGAAGTACTGGACAACACCAGCAATCATTATGTTAGACTGCACAGGGAAGCCATTGAAATCCACAAACACCAGCAGAGCTTCAGCAAAAAAGAAGTCTAAAACTCAACAAAGCCTGGCTCCCAGCACTGAAAAATACAGCCTGCAAAAGGTCAACAAACTCTCCCCAGCCACAAGGACCAGTGATCACTGCACACAAAAGACCAGCTAACAATACCCATCAATCACAGTGACAGATCATCTCTCCCCCTTATCACAACAATACACCCACAACAAAAAAACACTGTGGTCACCATAATCACCCAATCTCCTGAAAAGGTCAAAAGCTGATCCCACAGCTATAAATACTTGACCATCCAACAAACTGCACCAGAGCACAGACAGAGTTCTGACTCCTGTCCTCTGAAGATGCCAGCCACAGAGACTGGTGAAATGTTACGAAGAAAAACCTTCAGAACATGGCCAAACAGCCAGTAAAGCCCACAACAATCAGAAGTATTTCAACCTATACTGCCTGGATCATGAGGAACTGTTAATTGTTTTTAAAGAAATGGGTGTACCTCAGCACTTGATGTCTCCTGCTGTAACGTGAATAAGCCATTGTTAACACAGGATATGGGCTGTTGAGGATAGGACATTTTGTAGGGCACTCATTCATAGGGTTGTCATAAGTAGGAGGCAACTCAATGAACATAACAACGGAAGTGTCACTTCCCTTTCTCTTTGGATTGCTGAGCTGAAACATCTTTCAGCTCTTAAGGCAGCTTTGTTTCTAATGATGTGCTAACTGTCTCATCTGAAAATTCTATATGGAGTTTAGAGGTTTTATATCACATGTTTATTATTTTCACAGACTGGGCTGGAATTTCAGCAAGGCTATCCTGATTTACTTTTAAGACACTTTTTCTCCCCCAAATGATTGTGGCCTCTTACCTTTGGTGCAGGTGCTAATTCTAAATCCGAGGCTGAATCAGATTCCAAAGCAGTTTTGACATTAGCCAGCTCTGACTGGGATCTGTTCTCTGCGGACCTAGAAATAAAGCATTTCTATATCCCATTATTGCAGCATGATATTGTGAACAGAGGAACCAATATTCTCCACGGCATAACAATACAGTCTCACCCTGAATATTTTTTAAAAACAAAACAAGGAAAAAAAGCCAAATGCACAGTTACAAGATGGGGGATACTTGGCTCTATAATTCTACATGTGAGAAAGATCTTGGAATTGTTGTAGATCAAAAGCTGAATATGAGCCAACAGTGTGACGTGACAGCAAAAATGGAAAATGCTATTTTAGGATGCATTAACAGAAGTATAGTTTCCAAATATGATATGCGACATGATGTCACTTTTCAAATACTTGAAATGTAATCATACAGAGGAATGGCAGGGTCTGTTCTCAATCATCCCAGAGTGCAGGGCAGTTAATTCAGAAAATCAGATTTAGGCTGAATATCAGGAAAAACATTTAACTGTTAGAGCAGTATGACAATGGAATCAATTACCTAGGGAGATGGTGAACTCTCCAACACTGGAAGCATTCAAGGGAAAATTGGACAACCCTCTGTCAGATCTGCTTTGATTTGGGTTCCTGCCTTGAGCAGTGGGGGTTGGATCTGATGGCCTTATAGGCCCTTTCCAACTCAGCTATTCTATGGTTCTATGATATATACATCCCAAGAGCTGCTTTTCACATTCCAAGATGAACTGAATAGTGGAGACATGATGTCATTCGTGTATGCACCCCTTGTGATAAGGCGTAAAGATATCACATGTATCAAGGTTCGTACATCATCTCATGGAAGAGATGCTCTTTGAAAGATAACAACATTGGTAGCACATTGGTGACAGGGCATATTTTAGTATTTTAATTTTTAAAAAAATCTTTGAAATAACAAATGTGTGTAAGACTCACCTCACAGAGCAACATTTTAGGAGTAAAGAATAATTATTAACTCCCTACACTTTTTACAACTTTACCAATCAATTTTACCAATCCTTAAAATATTATCATTAAATGTTTTAATGGTAATAATACGGTAATTACTTGAAACTTATTATTTTTAAGCTCAGTGTCTGAAGCGATTTTTCTCAACCCGTCCACTGTTTGACTCAGTCCTGCTGCACAAGTAAAAAAAATATGCTTTACCATAAAAATTCTTTTGATGGAGCTCTAGAAGCTGAAGGCTTTTTCTCTGGTGCAGAAAAACCTTTGGTAGCCTTATCTCCATGAAACCTCACTTCATCCCATTTCTCCAGCTGTGCCTGAATACTGACTGAGAGTGAGAAAAAGAAAACGAGATCTTGTAAGGAAAAATGCAGGATAGAAAGAGAATCTTTTTTCCCTTTGAAAACACTGGGGACGAAATTGCCACTCTTAAGTTGTTAGGTTATGCGGCCCATACTGTATGGCAGGAATTCCCAAAATGTGCACCATGGCTCTGTGAGCTGTCCAGGATCCAGGGGCACCATGGGAAAAAGGACGGAACATAGGCTGTAGAAGAGCTGTACAGTGGGGTCTCGACTTACGAACTTAATCCGTATTGGAAGGCAGTTCTCAGGTCGAAAAGTTCTTAAGTCGAATCTGCATTTCCCATAGGAATGCATTGAAAACCATTTAATCCGTATCTGCTCTTTTCGTCCATAGAAACTAATGGGAAGCTGCTATTCCGCCTTCTGCCACTAGAGGGGGATATTTTTTCTTTTTTCCTTTTAACCTAAGATGACTTAGCTTTTAAAAAAAGGGGGGAAAAGAGCTCGTAACTCGAATCTAAGTTCGTAACTCGAGTCCATATATTCCTATGAGAGCGGTTCGTAAGTCGAAACATTCGTATGTCGAGCCGTTTGTAAGTCGAGACCCCACTGTACGTAGCTCTATGTCAAACAGGAACTGGAAGCGCAGGTGTGTGCCTGTCTCTCCTTGCCCCATCTCTATAGTCCCCAGTGGAGGTGCTTGCCAGGTGGCCTCATGAGTTTCCTCCTTCAGGACCTGAAAGGAGGTGAGCCCTTGGGGTGTCAAGATCCCACCCCTAATGGCAGTGAAACCCCTGATGGTCCTTCCAAGCAACTGAAGCTGTGGCCAGTGGTCAGTAAATACAGGAAGCCACGAATCCATAATGTTTGGAAACCACTGCTGTATGCCATTTGTTATTGGCGTGTTTACAGCAGAGTATCGGGGGGAAAAATGTTCAACAGTCACCAATACATTTGCACACATGGTCACATTTCACATAGAAACACGTCTTTCTGAAATCACTAATCTTTTCCACAAGGACATTTGAGTAACAGGGACTTTTAAATCCACCTCTTTTGATGAACGATGGGAGGAGCTGGGAAAGATTTACAAGGGACAATTTTCTTGTGGAGACAGAAAATAACTGGAAACGTTTTGAGTCGTCTTGCACTTTCTCCACGTCTCCAAAACTAGTTCAGAATCTACTGGCCTCTTTCAAATATAGAAAAGAAAGTCTTTCAGTCTCAATTTTCTTGTGTTTCTCCCAATTCCACTTGTATTTTCTTTTGGCCCTTACTTGTAAGATTTTATTTTTTATTGCACTGAAAGTTATGTACAGATTCTTTGTACATTTCCCCTAATCTGTGCATTAATTTATCCATGTTATCTAACATACAAATTTACTTACACATTCCATCTAATTGACACACTACCCCTCATTAAGTGGGCTTGTGCTTATTTTTTAAAATGCATACACAGTAGATAACTGCATTTTAAACTGCGTGCATTTTTCTGGGTATACCTCATTCCTTCAAAACACTATAAGCTCTGCTAATGTGTACATTTTTGGTGAGGTGTTATCTCTTCTTTCAATGGATTTCAGAAACACTTTTCATGAGAATGTAAAATCTAACAAAATTCTTTTTCGTCCCTAGCCTTAACTTTACTGCAACAACTAAAAAGCAAGATTAATTCCAAACCCTCAAAGGCCAATCAGAAATCTTGCTGTGAAGGATGCGAAAAGTAGGAGGGTGCTTAACGATGCCTGCGTTGTTCAGTTCTTCTCAACAAAATCTTTGGCACATGTTTTCCATGTGAAGAAGAAAATGCATGCAAAAGAGAATCAGCTGGCAGGTTATGTTGGCAAATGAGGCAGGAAATTGCAAGCACCTGTTCTAGTCCTGGAAATAGACACACAGTAGGAACTACAGTAGGAACTTTCCTTTGTCTAGTGCTCCATAAGACCTAGAGAGGCATTCTGTGGCATTCCCAAGAAAGGAAGAGAAAGTGAAACGAGAACAGTTTGTTGACTCAAACCAAGCAAAACCGCGTAACAACAAAGACAATATTTTCAATGTAAATCACATTAAATGACAATAACTATTTCCTTTCTGCATGGACATTTGAGGATGAGAAGCACAGGAAAGGTTGTTTCTATTTTTTTAAATAATAATCAACAAATCATTCCAACACACACATTGCTTCTCATAGGGAAATAATACCAGTTTTTATCACATTATGGGGGTTTAATGAGGAAAAAAGGGGGCTTCTTAGATCTATATCCCAGAGGTGATGAAAATTGCCAGGAGGCAAAAGGAAAGGTCTCCTTTTGGGGGGATCTCACTGAGTTAAGACAGCCTGACTGGAAGAGAGTAAGGAATTCAATGAACACTCTTTTCATTCCCAAATCATCAGTTACTAAAAAATTGCACTTCTTTCATGATGTCCCCATGTCCAGTATGTGGAACTGACAATAGGTGTATAGACAGCAATCAACAAAGGCTTAGGTACCTAAATCCAAGGAGGACTTCTCAGGACCTCTGAGAGGCTGGATTTTCTGTTCAGCATCCACGCTGATAAGGTCTGGATTGTCTACCTTCTTTTTCTGGAGTGAGGCTTTTAGGGTTTCCCCTCTTGATGAATTCTCCCCGTTTTTCGTTTTGCTTTTGCTTTGGGAGACAGGCTCGCTGAGATCCAAAAGATCCAACCCTGCTGACAAAACTTAACACAGACCAAACACAAAATGATTTGTTTTCAGTCATTTAATGCAATCTGGCCAAAATTCTGGATTCCTGTGCTTTCCCCCACTCCGCTATTATTTCAGCGACCTAACCTGATTATGTATTCTAATGAACCTGAAAGCTTTCACAGTCTTGTGGAATTGACACTGATTCCAATAAATGTTTTTCCTGCCCATTGGATTTGAAGTTTCTTTTGTTCTCACAAACTAAAAGAGTTGTGTTTCTTTTGATACACACTTCAATTTCACACGGCTGTATAATATTACAAGTGTTTTAAGAAGAAACTGACTGAATTCTTGTTGCAATGCTGCAGCTTTGTCAAGCCGAGAGCCAAAGTAGACAGTGTATATAGATCTTGGGTCAAGCACACTCTCTTAGTAAGACCTCCACCTTACTAAATGCTGCCTTGGGTTCACAGGAGGAAAGATAGGATATACATGTAACAAATAACAAATAACAATCCCACATTCTGCTCCTATGAAAATTAACATGCTGAACTTGTATTAAATACAGAAGAGTAAACAAGCTACTGCAATATGCCTTTTTTTGTCTTCCACACCACAACCCAGGTTAGGGTTGGGAAGGTTAAATCACACCACCGTGCTATCACACGTTAATCTCCATCTCTGGTTTAAAATTAAAAAAAAGATACTGATGCTTTGAATTTCTGTAAGTATAACTAGAAGTCAAGCCCTGGGTCATGCAGAATCCTCAGACTGCATTCTCTTATATAAAAAGCACTTTGCATTTAGCTAATAAGCACAACAACATGAAAGATTCTAGTCATCATGTAAGACAAGATTTTCATTTTCAAGAAGGTGTTGGTTTTAAAAGAAAACAAGGTGGGACTATTCAAGTACGGTAAGCTCTATGCCCTGCTCTCAGCACGGATTTCGAGAAAGGATTAGGCAGAGAAACTGGATCTGGTGAATCAGCGTAGGTATGACATGTACAGTCACAGTCCATATCTTCGTTTCATCTCTATCATCAACATTGTTGGATCCAAACATTCGGGGAACCCATGGGCAACACTTCAATGGGTCCTCCTCTTTGAAAGGACTCATCTCCTTGCAATGTTGTCATCAAGGCCAGTTTGTTTACTATCTTCCTATGGACTCCATCCAGCCTGCTGCCAAAAAGACAGGAAGTGAAGGCAATTTTGCTTCTGTTGCTGCTCAGATCTTTGGAGGGGCAAGAGAAGAAGCAGCAACGGCAAGCAGGAAAAAAGAGTACCATATAAGTCTCAAAAGGTTGGTGATGATGCCAGCCCTGCATGGTGCCATGAGCCTGAAGAATGATCCTTTGTGGTTTCTGGTTTCATATCAAAGATTAGAAGCCAAATGAATTAATGTGAAAATGAAAAACATCATTGTAAAGAACACCACATTGTGAAGGAGACTCAAGGATTCATTAATAACCATTTATTACATTTGAAATCAAAACAAAAACTACTGTGAACAGTATGGCTAATTTTGTCTTCTATTTCCCCACATACTATGTAAAAAGAGGTATTAATTAGGGATTGAGATAGAGATCATCAGCCAACACATTAGTGAATCTGGCAGTTTCAATTTATGCACATTTTAATCTTGGATGTCTCTGTCATTTCATTGTGAGTTTTAATATGCCGGAATGTGCACACACACACACATACACACACACAATACATTTCCTAATATATGCCGGAATGTGCACACACACACATATACACACACACACACTCTTTGAGCATGTTCCACAGCCTGAACTTGGAAAAGTTTTTTTTTAAGATTATAGCTCCCAGAATGCCAGAGCCATCATGGCCATCACCATTACAATGCTTTACAAAGTAACTGGGGACTAAATTCCATTGCAACAGAAGATATTATGCCACATGTTAGTAGATGTTGTTTGTTGTTTCTAGTTGGGACAGGCGCTAAAGGAGGAGAGGAATACTACAGTGTGTGTACCCTTATGGGTATTGGCACTAATCTTGCTGTGTTTTTTTATCTGAGCTACTGTTCAGTATCTGTAGAAATTATATAATTTATGTTTTGGACTTTTGTTGTACCCAGCCCAGAGTAGCAATTGGCTAGATGGGCGGTATATAAATCAAATAAATAAATTGTTCTGTGTTTTGTCTATTGTCTGATTTTAATATGCTTTATGGCTGATTTTGTAATATAACATTCTGTCTGTTTGTACAACACCCAGAAAGTGCTTTTTCACTACGGGGCAGTAAAAAAAATATAATAAATAAGCAAGCAAGCAAGAAAGAATAAGCAGGACCTACTTCTGAGCAGAGCCAGCTCAAAGTATTTTGTTACCTAAGGTGAAGGACAAGATGGGGCTCCTCCCAAGTCTGCATACAGAAGTGACTAGAGTGGCAACTGAATCTCCTCTCATTTAAACACTGGCCATAGGATAGCCTGCAGGCAAGAGTAGGCAAGGACAGGCAAAGCACATCCTGCGGGCTCTATGCATCCCCAGGTGCATGTCTGTGGTCTCCAGGTTGCCTCAAGTAACACTTACATATCAGCACACTCTGCCTAATGATCGGACCAATCTTGCTGTGGAGGTTACATGCACAGGATTACAGTCAAGATCTGGGGCGCCCCACTGATATGGCTTCATTGCTTCTGTTGCCCCTGCCTGTATCATTCACATAAATGAAGCAGCCTACCATTCACTGAGCTGACATTCAGAGATTCATGCCTTAACATCTTTGCTGATGGTGTAAGTTTATTTTCTCTTGCTCATCTTTAATGGAAACATCTGTGCCACTGTGGCTTAGCCAACTTCGTATGACTATGGGTCACAAGAGGATTTCTACAAGCTCATGAAAGGCATCACTGGGTATTAAGTAGAAAAGAGGATATAAAGGTCATATTGAAGATGTTCTCCCAAACCTCTGGGACTGTAAGAAAATGGATGAAACTAAACAGAGGAAAATATAATGACATCTCTTTTCTTTTCCCCCCAAAACCAGAAACTGGCCCAGATGGATCCATGTTGTGACAGGGTCATGAAAAGAGAATCTCTGGATTTCAGGGTAATTTTTATATTGGCTGTATGTTGATCATATAACAGTCGATTTCCCCAGTGATACCCAAAAGAGCAATTCAGTCATGTCCTAACATCAGACAAACAAGTTTCTATTACTGAAGCTGGAAAAAAGTTTCCTTGTGAGATGAGGAGATGAGCAGAAGAATGTTCACCTGAATAAAGTGTAGAGAGGGAGAGGAATTGTTCAATAGCAGCGGAAATGCTTTGTAGGTAGAAGATCCCAGGTTCTACCATTGCTGTTTCTATTAACAGGGCCAGGCAGGAGGTGATGTGAAAGTGAAGCACCTCCATCAAATAATCTACTGTTAGTCATAGCACACCAAAGCTCAGAATTTTTTTTTCAACACTTAAAGGTGTTCTGGTGAAAAGCAGCTTACTGTGCTTTTATCAGACTGAGATAATTAAGATTTCAAGGATTTATTGGGATCCACAAGCTACATCTTGCCCATCCTTGAACAAGATAATTGGTTCATTGTGCTGAGTGGCAGTCAATAGGTTTCCAGGATTTCAGACAGCAATCTGATGACCAAACCTGGGACATTCTGCATGTAAAGCAGTGGTTCCGAACCTTGGGTAAGCCAGGCGTTTTTGGACTGCAACTCCCAGAAACTCCACCCATCACAGCTAGTGGTGGAGGCTTCTGGGAGTTGCAGTCCAAGAACACCTGAGTTACCCAAGGTTGGGAACCACTGGTGTAAAAAATACGTTCTTACATAAAGACTCTGCTCTTCCTCTTTTGAGAAGTGAGCTTGTCCGTCAAAGATTAAAGTATCTTTTTGAGCCTGTTTCTGTTTTGTACATGAAGAACACAAGCCATACAACTTTATGTCAGTGTTCTGACCATGCAGATTGTCCTAGCTAGATATTGTCTGTCCTCCATGCCTACTTTGAATTCTTGAATTTTACTTAGAACAGTGACCTTCCTATAATTCGAAAACCATCATTCAGCCCAGAACCTCATCTCCATTAGGCACTATAAGGTCTTCCAAGAAAGGTGGAATAAAGCAGACTTCTAATACTTTTAGACATTCTAAGAATAATTACATTCTTTTCAGCTGTCAAGGTATAACCCTAAAAGCCATGAAGAAGCCTATCTATTATATATATTTATCTCTAGGCTAACACTACTGCCAGTATCAATACTGCTGAGATGTTTTGGAGCTCAGTTGAATTGTATAATAGTGGGTTTTCAATTCTCTGTCTAAAAACAAGACAGAATTTTTGATGTGGAAGTGTTGCTTCATTGGAAGAGACGGGTTGCAGGAATCTGTCTCACATAAAGCCAGACCCACATAAAGCCTAATCCAGGATTGCTGACATTGCTTTACAGTGAGTTCCCACAAGTTTCAGGCATTTCTAGCTCTCCCTAGAAATCCAAGGGATTGAATCTGGAACTGGAGCTTTTTAAATGCATAACAGGTGCTCAATCACTGACCTTGAAAAGCAGGGGGAGAGAAGACAGCAAGACAGTTCAAAAATGGTTTCAGAAGTGGGAACGAACCAAAGGGCACAATAGATGCCACAGAAATACCACCAACTCTTGAGAATTAGAAGATTAGATGATTAGGTAAAGAAGAGCAGATGAGCACGTAGAAAGAAGAGGATTATAACAGAATAATCAGGGGAACGGGGAGGGGAGAATGAGAAGAAGAGTTCAAACTAAAACAGCTTGAAGTAGATCACAAGGAGGACAGCTCATAGTACTTCAGAAATATGCTGTATTCCCTCTCATTGGCCATTACACAGGAGGTTGATCAGCAATTATGCCATTATACCACCTAACTCTTCTTTTTCCTCAAATTAAAAAAGAATCTGAGTATTTATTTATTTATTTATTTATTTATTTATTTATTTATTTATTTATTTATTTATTGACCACTTGACTTAGTGTGAAGCACTACTCTAAGTGAAATAATAAGAAATAATCTAATCCACATAAACTAATGTACATGCACACATATATAACGTACATCATATTAAACCCAAATAGTGGGGGCAACAGAGAACAAATATACATTCATTTAAACTAGGATGCTTCTCAAGAGAGAACAATCTTTAACATTCTATTAACGTATAGGAGAGAGGGCAGCTGACATACTTCTAGTTGGAACCTAATAAGAAATAATCTAATCCACATAAACTAATGTACATGCACACATATATAACGTACATCATATTAAACCCAAATAGTGGGGGCAACAGAGAACAAATATACATTCATTTAAACTAGGATGCTTCTCAAGAGAGAACAATCTTTAACATTCTATTAACGTATAGGAGAGAGGGCAGCTGACATACTTCTAGTTGGAACCCATTCCACACGGTTGGGATCACAGTCGAGAAGGCATGATTTCTCGTAACCCTACTTTTTGCCTCCCTTGTTGCGGTCACCTGCAGAAGCAAGGCCTGTGAAGAACAGGTAGGGTGGGGTGGGCCAATGTTCTGAGGAAAAGATGCTCCAACAGATAACATAGCCTCAAACCCTGAGGGCTATTAGAACTGTGTAGATAGCCTGTGACTATACTCACAGTTTAGGATATGCATTTTTCACCTACAGCTCCCCTATTGTTCCAGTGGCCATGCTGTTTGGCCAAGCTACACAATGGTTGGTTTTCAAAGAATGACGGGGCACGGAAAATGCTGCATGTTGAACAAAGCTCAAAATCTGTCATATATGTGAATGAAAACAGTAGACAATGCACTTACCTGCTGTATTTGATGTCACAGGGCGTGCAATAGCTTCTGATTTGGTTTCGCAAAGGAAGTCATCAATGGAGGGGCTCAGGAGGGGTCTGCTTTCTTGCTGTTCATTCACCAGCTAGTGACAGAAAAGTGAAAGGGGATGTGTGTGTGTGGGCGAGTGTTTAGGTCATATGAACTGAACATGGATGATGTTTTTAAAGCACAGAACAAAATGGATATAGCAGCTGAGTGTGAGGCAGCAAAAAATAAGAATGGGACTTTTAAAAAATACTATCAGGCAGTATTTACACTCAAGTTCAGATCTGGATGTTCTAGGACATCTTCCTCAATCAGAAGGCAAAACTATATTCAGATTTCTTCAGACAAGCTGTATCCAGTTTTGGCTGGCATGACAAGTCCTATATTAGTTCCAACTGAAACAGGCCCACCATACTCATTCACACTGACTAAGAAGTTCCATTCATATCAAAAGGTGTACTCTAGTTAGGACTAAAATTAAATGTAGACCATGCCAAATAGCAGTCACACATGGCTTTTTATATTTATTCATCCCCCCCCCCATTTAATCAATCCTTTAACTAAGGCTGGATCCAGGGCAAGAGATATTCCAGTTGGACCAATCTTTACCATTGGCCCTATTTAGCTGCTGAAACAATCTAATTTGGACTTGGAGAATGTGTATGTGTTTGGGTGGAAGGATCAGCAAAAGTCGAAAAGATCAGCAAAAGTGCAGTGATCTATCTAGCAGATAAGAGTCAAACTGATTAATGCCTTGAAGGGACTGTGGAAACAAACAAACTCCTATGGAACTGAAAGTGAATCCTAACATCACAATCCATCAGAAGACTGTGGAGTTAATCAATACGTACCCCAAGGTCCTTTACGGATAAAACTCCCAACACAAATGCATCCTATTAAACAGATCACTGATGCTGTCAAATTTGACTGTGCCTTTTCTCTAGCCTAGTTTGAAGATGGGCACTGATTCTGGTTACCTTTTGTTTCCCACAGCCTGGAAAGCTATATTTCAGAATGATGGCTATAATGACATGCTGATCCCATGCATAATGGAACAGTGAACTGAATCTCAAGGCATCATATTGTCATGACTTCAACATGTCATTATATGCATTCTACTTAGAAGGGGGAAATGCTTGCTTCTTGGACTACAACTCCCACAATAGCCGTATTGGCTGTGGGGTGTAGTCCAATACCCCATATTTTTCCCATCTCTGATTCTCCTTAGAAGTAATTTTCAAAATTCTTTCTCCAACCTATAGACAATTAGTTCCCAGAAACTGTCTATCCAAGTTTACATAGATGGGCGTGAGTTGGGCCCTCAGTTCCTTGCCTAGGAACCACACATTTATGCTGGCATTCACATAAATGCTTCTGAGCAACAAAGGAGATGTTCCCACAAGCTGACCTCTTTGCTTTCCTGAATGTACAGCCATAGACTCTGTGTAAAGCATAACATATCCTCTTTGCATGTTGTTCCTTCTCGGATTGTTTCCATTCCCCTTTTCTTTCAACCCACTCTCTCCTTCCTTCCTTTACCCCATCTATAGTTTTAATTCATATACTAAGATGATTACATAACGAAGAACATATACACATATAACCCGTAAGTTTCCATCCATACTGTACAGATTATCTACAAACATCTCTTTAAACTGTGATAAACACCAGTATCCTATATTGCTAGTCACAACTAGAGAGTAGCTCTGTTGAATGAAGTGCTGAATGGTAAGTCAACACTTGCATCAATGGGTTAACTCTAATTAGGGTTAGCCACAGCATACCATCCCATAATGATAATCCTAGATTTATTTAAGACAGCTTTTGACTTCCAAATGGAAGTTGTAGGAATATAACTGGATCTCATATATATGTCTGATCCATTTCTTCTTAGTTATGCCTACATTACAGAATGGAACTAGTTTATGAAATGAACTTGTTTCCTAAGAAATCCTGAATCTTCTAGTTCTGTGAGCAGGGCTACAATAGTCTTCTCAATCTGGTACTCTCCAGATGTTAGGGTGATGGAAAAGTGGACTAGGGAACCTAGTAAAAAATTCTGGGCACTCCCCCAAACTATCATTCCCCCGATTCTTTAGAAGAAACTATGACAAATTAAATTGGGATAACATACACTAATGTTGTAGTACAAGAATTGAATATTTACTAGGGAGAGAAGTGTCATAGCAATTTTTGGTGCATGCAAGGGTAATGACATAAGCTTTCCAAAACCCTTGAAGACACTGGCCAAAATCTTGTTAAAGAAAATTGGGTGCACAGGAGCAATCATGTAAACAATTTCTCCCTTTTGTCGATTTTTGCAACAGGACCCAGGGTTGTTTGCTCCACTTAGGAATGCAGGGATGTGCAGCACATAACGTGGAAAACTTGTGGAATTACTTACGTGATTGCCCTCATACAATTGCATAATGCAATATGATTCTGCCTACTGTAATTCTGCAATTTTTGCTTGATATTTGATGGTAAACAGTAAGGGCTCCAAGCATCTTCAGCATTGCTTTCCAAATAAATCTCTATTTACATCTAAACATTTTCCCAACAAAAGTAACAGAAAAGGTAATGTAATGATCCACAAAAAAAGTTGAGTAGGTAACTATATAAATGGTAACTAATTCCTTTTTAGTAAAAAGAGCCTTGTGGTGCAGTGGTTAAACAGCTGTACTCCAGCAAAAACCTGTGCTCACAACCTGGGGTTCAATCCCAGGTAGCCGGCTCAGGGTTGACTCAGCCTTCTATCCTTCAGAGGTCAATAAAATGATTAACCAGCTTGCTTGGGGGGCAATGTGCAGCCTGCATAATTAACTTGTAAACCGCCCAGAGAGTGCTTGAAGCACTATGGGGCGGTTTATAAGCAGCACACTTTGCTTTTGCGTTTTTAAAGCTTTATAATGTATCAAATAACAAACTACCTGTTACTTTTTAGAAATAACTTTTCAAACCCTGGACAGCTCCTTCTATTGCATTTAGAGTATGTCACTCCCACACCTTTCCACTCTTCCACTAGCCACGGCCTGGGGCAGCTGCCTTATTCTTCATGATGTGAAATCCAGGCCTGTTTGCCTTTTAAAATGTTGAATACTGCCATGTGATAGCAGAATGGAGGAGACAGGAATAAGATTTTCATGTAACAGAAGGTAGAGATGGTCTCTATGCTGTTTTCCTCCATTTCAACTGCTTTCCAAAGCTGTTACTTGTATCTAAGGGAAAATAGAATCTACTGTATATGTCCTGTGCCTCCCCACAAGACAAGATTTCAGAGCAATTTAGATGAAGCAAACAGCAGTGAGTGGGATATGGGGTTTATATCAGAAAACATCTATTTTTTCCAAAGTGCCTAGAAAGACTCTGTCATAAATCTCTCACCATCTTGTCCACATTGATCATCAGTGTACTGACTTAACTGACCATGCTTGGCAAGGAAAAATACTGTGTGAAATACCCCAAAACTGATATTGTCTGTGAGTGAGTGATTAGGAAGCAAGATACCCACAACTTTCCTAGATCATGTCTGGCAATCATTCCAGTATGAAATGTGATTCCTTTGCTATAGAGAAAGGTTGACCGGGTGGGGGGAGGGGAGAATACACTTGGCATGTAAGGGGCATGCATGCTCATTCAGATCTGGATTCCACACCAATGAGGTGAAGCAACATCTCCAGTGCACATGAAGGAGACTTAATAAGAGCAGTGCTCCTAAAATAAAATAAAAAAGTAACTTATTTGAGTGTCAGGAAATGCTCTAAAAGATAAACATGATTGATGGAGCTACATGGCCATATCAGCCCCACAATTTGGCCACAAGGTTTAATGAAAGTTCCTTAAAAGTTCTTATTGATTATTCATCTTATTTTTCGATTTACCATGCAACTCATTAATTGACTAAAATCAGTTCATGATACCTTGCCATTAATAAACTGATCATTTTGATAGAGTGACTGCAATTTCTACCCCAAGATTTGTAACTGTAATTCTATAATTTTATACACACAACCACAGAGAGAGAGAGAGAGAGAGAGTACCCCAAGACTAATATTGTCTGTGAGCGAGTGATTAGGAAGCAAGATGCCCACAGCTTTCCTAGATCATTTCTCGCAATCATTCCAGTATAAAATGTGTTTCCTTTGCTATGGAGAAAGGTTGACTGGGTGGGGGGGGGG